AGTCCCCGTCCCACCTCCACTGTCCTGTAGTCCCCGTGTCACCTCCACTGACCTGTAGTCCCCGTGTCACCTCCACTGTCCTGTAGTCCCCGTCCCACCTCCACTGTCCTGTAGTCCCCGTCCCACCTCCACTGTCCTGTAGTCCCCGTGTCACCTCCACTGACCTGTAGTCCCCGTCCCACCTCCACTGACCTGTAGTCCCCGTGTCACCTCCAATGTCCTGTAGTCCCCGTGTCACCTCCACTGTCCTGTAGTCCCCGTGTCACCTCCACTGACCTGTAGTCCCCGTGTCACCTCCACTGACCTGTAGTCCCCGTGTCACCTCCACTGTCCTGTAGTCCCCGTGTCACCTCCACTGACCTGTAGTCCCCGTGTCACCTCCACTGTCCTGTAGTCCCCGTGTCACCTCCACTGTCCTGTAGTCCCCGTGTCACCTCCACTGACCTGTAGTCCCCGTCCCACCTCCACTGTCCTGTAGTCCCCGTGTCACCTCCACTGTCCTGTAGTCCCCGTCCCACCTCCACTGACCTGTAGTCCCCGTCCCACCTCCACTGTCCTGTAGTCCCCGTGTCACCTCCACTGTCCTGTAGTCCCCGTGTCACCTCCACTGACCTGTAGTCCCCGTCCCACCTCCACTGTCCTGTAGTCCCCGTGTCACCTCCACTGACCTGTAGTCCCCGTCCCACCTCCACTGTCCTGTAGTCCCCGTGTCACCTCCACTGTCCTGTAGTCCCCGTGTCACCTCCACTGACCTGTAGTCCCCGTCCCACCTCCACTGACCTGTAGTCCCCGTGTCACCTCCAATGTCCTGTAGTCCCCGTGTCACCTCCACTGTCCTGTAGTCCCCGTGTCACCTCCACTGTCCTGTAGTCCCCGTGTCACCTCCACTGACCTGTAGTCCCCGTGTCACCTCCACTGTCCTGTAGTCCCCGTGTCACCTCCACTGTCCTGTAGTCCCCGTCCCACCTCCACTGACCTGTAGTCCCCGTGTCACCTCCAATGTCCTGTAGTCCCCGTCCCACCTCCACTGTCCTGTAGTCCCCGTGTCACCTCCACTGACCTGTAGTCCCCGTGTCACCTCCACTGTCCTGTAGTCCCCGTCCCACCTCCACTGACCTGTAGTCCCCGTCCCACCTCCACTGACCTGTAGTCCCCGTGTCACCTCCACTGTCCTGTAGTCCCCGTGTCACCTCCACTGTCCTGTAGTCCCCGTCCCACCTCCACTGTCCTGTAGTCCCCGTCCCACCTCCACTGTCCTGTAGTCCCCGTGTCACCTCCACTGTCCTGTAGTCCCCGTCCCACCTCCACTGTCCTGTAGTCCCCGTGTCACCTCCACTGTCCTGTAGTCCCCGTGTCACCTCCACTGTCCTGTAGTCCCCGTGTCACCTCCACTGTCCTGTAGTCCCCGTGTCACCTCCACTGTCCTGTAGTCCCCGTCCCACCTCCACTGTCCTGTGGTCCCCGTGTCACCTCCACTGACCTGTGGTCCCCGTGTCACCTCCACTGTCCTGTGGTCCCCGTGTCACCTCCACTGTCCTGTGGTCCCCGTGTCACCTCCACTGACCTGTGGTCCCCGTGTCACCTCCACTGTCCTGTGGTCCCCGTCCCACCTCCACTGACCTGTGGTCCCCGTCCCACCTCCACTGTCCTGTAGTCCCCGTGTCACCTCCACTGTCCTGTAGTCCCCGTGTCACCTCCACTGACCTGTAGTCCCCGTCCCACCTCCACTGTCCTGTAGTCCCCGTGTCACCTCCACTGTCCTGTAGTCCCCGTGTCACCTCCACTGACCTGTAGTCCCCGTCCCACCTCCACTGTCCTGTAGTCCCCGTGTCACCTCCACTGACCTGTAGTCCCCGTGTCACCTCCACTGTCCTGTAGTCCCCGTCCCACCTCCACTGTCCTGTAGTCCCCGTCCCACCTCCACTGTCCTGTAGTCCCCGTGTCACCTCCACTGACCTGTAGTCCCCGTCCCACCTCCACTGACCTGTAGTCCCCGTGTCACCTCCACTGTCCTGTAGTCCCCGTGTCACCTCCACTGTCCTGTAGTCCCCGTGTCACCTCCACTGACCTGTAGTCCCCGTGTCACCTCCACTGTCCTGTAGTCCCCGTGTCACCTCCACTGTCCTGTAGTCCCCGTCCCACCTCCACTGACCTGTAGTCCCCGTGTCACCTCCAATGTCCTGTAGTCCCCGTCCCACCTCCACTGTCCTGTAGTCCCCGTGTCACCTCCACTGACCTGTAGTCCCCGTGTCACCTCCACTGTCCTGTAGTCCCCGTCCCACCTCCACTGACCTGTAGTCCCCGTCCCACCTCCACTGACCTGTAGTCCCCGTGTCACCTCCACTGTCCTGTAGTCCCCGTCCCACCTCCACTGTCCTGTAGTCCCCGTCCCACCTCCACTGTCCTGTAGTCCCCGTGTCACCTCCACTGTCCTGTAGTCCCCGTCCCACCTCCACTGTCCTGTAGTCCCCGTGTCACCTCCACTGTCCTGTAGTCCCCGTGTCACCTCCACTGTCCTGTAGTCCCCGTGTCACCTCCACTGTCCTGTAGTCCCCGTGTCACCTCCACTGTCCTGTAGTCCCCGTCCCACCTCCACTGTCCTGTGGTCCCCGTGTCACCTCCACTGACCTGTGGTCGTGTCACCTCCACTGTCCTGTGGTCCCCGTGTCACCTCCACTGTCCTGTGGTCCCCGTGTCACCTCCACTGACCTGTGGTCCCCGTCCCACCTCCACTGTCCTGTGGTCCCCGTCCCACCTCCACTGTCCTGTAGTCCCCGTGTCACCTCCACTGTCCTGTAGTCCCCGTGTCACCTCCATTGACCTGTAGTCCCCGTGTCACCTCCACTGTCCTGTAGTCCCCGTGTCACCTCCACTGTCCTGTAGTCCCCGTGTCACCTCCACTGTCCTGTAGTCCCCGTCCCACCTCCACTGTCCTGTAGTCCCCGTGTCACCTCCACTGTCCTGTAGTCCCCGTGTCACCTCCACTGTCCTGTAGTCCCCGTGTCACCTCCACTGTCCTGTAGTCCCCGTGTCACCTCCACTGTCCTGTAGTCCCCGTCCCACCTCCACTGACCTGTAGTCCCCGTGTCACCTCCACTGTCCTGTAGTCCCCGTGTCACCTCCACTGTCCTGTAGTCCCCGTGTCACCTCCACTGTCCTGTAGTCCCGGCCCTTCGCAGGGCTGAAGAAGGAGCCAGCAAAGCCTGACACCTACGTCCCCATCATCCCTCCAGTATTCTTGGACCAGTTAATCCACATTCCTCAGCCCAATTTACCACATATGACAGAACAGGAGAAAAAAATTGACCACAGCTGTGATCCTGGCTTCCCTACTTATTACTGGGCAGATTAACCTCACTGCACCTCTGGTTTTCTCATCCCGCTTTTGAGTGCTCCTGAAAATGCCCTCCAGGTTGCCAACAGCCTCCATGATCCACGTCCATGTTCATTTATTTTTACTTCTCCATCTTTCCCAGTCCTCTCAGCACTTCCCACCCCACCCCATCCTCCATCCTCCATCTTCCGTCCTCTGTTATTTCTTCCCAGGATTTATTATTTCCTGAAATCATCTTGCTTATTTGATCATTACTTGTTTTTTAGTTCCCTTGCCCAATATCATCTCAAAAAAGTCCCTTCTCTTCTTCAGTATAGTAACTCAAGTCCTAAAGCCACGACTAGGCCGGGCGCGGTGGCTCGAACCTGTCATCCCAGCACTTTGGGAGGCCGAGGCAGGCGGATCACCTGAGGTCAGGAGATCGAGACCAGCCTGGCCAACATGGCGAAACCTCATCTCTACTAAAACTATAAAAATTAGCCGGGTGTGGTGGTGCACGCCTGTGATCCCAACTACTCGGGAGGCTGAGGCAGGAAAATCACTTGAACCCGGAAGGCGGAGCTTGCAGTGAGCCGAGATTGCACCATTTGCACTCCAGCCTGGGTGACAGAGCGAGACTCTGTCTCCAGAAAGCAAAAACAAAAAAAAACTTGAGTAGTACATAGAAGTTACTTGAGGATGGGTTCCAGAAAAACTAAGGTGAGCACAAAAAAGAGGAAGACGTGGTCTCCTGAGAACAGTGTTTCTAACCTGGGAGGCAGCAAAGGGAACTCCCATTATAACAGCCGTGCAGCTCCCAGCCTAGGAGGAGCAGGAGTGAGAATCCAGAAGGGTTTATGCCAGGAAAAAAAAAACAGCCTCCATGTAATTGTAAAATCGAGATGTTAACTAATCTTGAGGATTAGAAGGCACATTATTCTCTCAACAATAAGAAAAAGGCAAGTCGAAACTCCAGGAAAAACTAAAAGTTATATTTAAAAAGTCCTAGATTCAATATGAAACCATTTAATATGTGGCACAATTCAGTATAAGGAGAAAATCAGTTTGATCTCCCTGCAAAGATCGTTCTTCTTTGAGTAACCGGGGATCAACAGAAGCAGGCCAGCAGGACGGAAAGTGCCATCCTGGCACACTGTTTGGCCTTGAGGAAAATAGGATGTATCTAATAACAACTGAAAACATGTTTTTCTTGTTGACTTAATATATTCTGGAGATGATATTTATTGAGTGCCTATGTGCCAGGCAAGGTTTGAAGAGTTTTGCATTTAGGAATATTTAATCCTCTGAGCATGGTGAGGTGCATGGCATCATGACCACATTTTACAGATGAGGAACATCAGGTGTGAGATACTAAACGAGTTTTCTGAGGTCTTAGCAGAAGAGCTAGATTCACACCCTGACTTCTAACGCCAGCTCTGGGTCTCGTGGCCTGGGCGTGAATCTAGCAGAAGGGCTGGAAGGTACATCCACGCGATGAGACCCAGAGCTGGCCCTAGACGTCAGGCCATTTGATTTTTAAGTCTTAGTCCTTCTGGCCAAGAGGCAGAGGACACCACACGCCCAACGCAGACGCACACACTCCTGGGAGCCAGGACGCAAAGCCACAGAGCACCAGGGCGGGTCCAGGCTGGGATGCCGGAACGGCAGGGCCAGAGCAGGGTCTTACCTTCCTGCAGTCTTTGCAGAACACCGACGAGCTGCCCAGGAAGCCCAGCACCTCCCCACAGAGCAGGCACTGGGACAGGCCATTCCCCATCACGTTCCGCCTCATGGTCTCCAGCCGCTCCACCAGCCGCCTGCGGCACAGGACACACAGTCAGAGGGAACGTGCTTCCCGCCTGGGCGCAGCTGCCACCGAGGCCCAAAACCGTACCGCGCCACATGTGCTGTCCCCCACCCGGGAGGTTGTTCCTCGCACTTCCCTGGCTCACTGCGAATCCTTCGTTCACTCACCAACTATTCACTGAGCACCTGAGTCATCAGACATGGGGAATATCGTAGCAAACATGCGAGAGACACACATGGTCCCTGCTCTCATGGAACTTGCCTTCAATAAGGAAGGAAATTCATAAGCAAGAAAACAAGCAAACTGATTTCAGATAGGGAGATGAAATGGAAATAGTGGCGGGAGGGAGAGGGATTGCAGGGAGGGCAAGAGAGACTGAGGGGAGGGGAGGGGGAGGGAGACTGAGGGGAGAGAGGGTGAGGGAGATTGAGGGTGGGGGGTTGAGGAAGATTGAGGGGGGTGTGAGGAAGATTGAGGGCAGGGAAGGCAAGGGAGATTGAGGGGAGAGAGATTGAGGGAAAGAGGGTGAGGGAGACTGAGGGGAGGGAGGGCGGGGGGGGCGAGGGAGATTGAGGGGAGGGAGACTGAGGGGAGGGAGACTGAGGGGAGGGAGACTGAGGGGAGGGAGACTGAGGGGAGGGAGATTGAGGGGAGGGAGACTGAGGGGAGGGCAAAGGAGATTGAGGGGAGGGAGATTGAGGGGAGGGCAAGGAGGCGAGAGAGATTGAGGGGAGGGAGATTGAGGGGAGAGAGGGCAAAGGAGATTGAGGGGAGGGAGGGCGAGGGAGACTGAGGGGAAGGAGGGCGAGGGAGACTGAGGGACAGTGGCATGTTCCATGGGGACCAGCGATGGCTGTCGGAGAACAGGTGGACTCACAGCTGAAGAATGAGCCATGCCATCTGGCCTGTTTTTCCCACTGTAAAGACAGGAAGGCCAGACACGGTGGCTCACGCCTGAAATCCCAGCCCTTTGTGAGGCTGAGGCAGGCGGATCGCTTGAGCCCAGGAGTTCAAGACCAGCCTGGGTAGCATAGTGAGACCCCCATCTCTACAAAAAACAAAAAAAAAGCTGGGTGTGGTGGTGCCCTGGTACCCACCCGCGGTTCTAGCTACTTAAGGCTGAGGTTGGGGGATCGCTTGAGCCCAGGAAGTTGAGGCTGCAGCGATCCGTGATCGCACCCCTGCACTCCAATCTACACGACAGAGTGAGACCCTGTCTAAAAAAAAAAAAAAAAAGAAAGAAAAGAGAAAGAAAAAGAAAAGAAAAGATGAAGATACGTAGGAGGCAGCAGAATGAAATCGATTCCCGCCCAGCGCATTTTTTCTTCCTACTTGTGCTTTTCTGTGGTTTTCAGATTTTCCAGGAAATACGAATTTCTTTTGTAATTAAACAAACACAGGACACGATGAAAGTGCTGGAAGACTGAGCTGTGGTGGGCGCTGGAGTCGGAGGCCGGGAGCGGCTCCTGCGGGAGCTTTCGAGGGCGACCCGAACCCTCCCTTGGCTGAACCACAGCTGACCCGCAGGTGCACAGAGCCGAACAGCCCCCGGGGCGCTTCACCACGCTCATTCGCGCCCACAGCCGGGGCGCACACCCCAGCTGCTAGCGCCGTCTGACAGACCTATCCTGAGGCCTCAGCAGGCTGAGTTACACTCCGGGGTGTTGAGGCAGAGCCAGTGACCTCCTGACCCCTCCCAGAGGTGAAATGCAGCACCAGGACGCAGCGTGCCGGCCTCCCAGTGCCCTGTGCTTGCACCAAAGCCCTTGCTGTCCTCCCACTGAGCTGGCTCCGGCCCCGCCTCACCCAATTCTCTGCTGCTCCAGGACGTCCAGCCGCTCGGCCCTCTGGATGACCTGCAGGATGGCCTCCACCTCCGCCGGGCTGAGGTGCTGGTTCCTTCTCTGCTTCTCCGTCTGGTAGGTGTGCACAGACCAGCCTGTCTGCAGCCTCGAGAGGGAGTAACAGACGGCGTTGAGGCCTCCCCGGTGCAAACTCCCGCAGCCCCTACCACATCCACCAAGCCCTCCTGAGCACAGTCAGTGGATGGCCCAGGTGCTACGTGCCGGGGGCGAGGAGTGCGGGCAACAGAGATGGGGCAGACACAGGCTCCAAGCACCAGCCCTGCCATCCGCCGGCTCCTGGGCCCTGGCAAAGACGGCAGCACCATCTTAGCCCAGGAGGCAGAAACACGGAACGTGACCCTCAGGGACACACAGAAGGCCAAGGTCACGGCACGTGAGGGTCAAGGGAGGAGCAGGAGAGATGACCAAGAGAAGAAAAAGGGAGCTCCCAACTCCGTCAGGTGGTGACACGGAGTTTACCAGGGGACAGGAAAGGAATGTAATTAGGGTAAAGACACAGCTGTGGATATGAACACCCTGAAAACTGGCAGGTTCAAGGCAGGAGGGGAAAGCGAGTTTCGCCAGAGGAGCTATGGTGAGGGCAGGCAACGGCGAGGCCGGGCTGGGAGTGGGTCCGGAGGCTGAGCTGTCCGCTCCACTGCGCTGCAGGGGTGGTGCCTCCTGAGGCTGTAACTGGGGCGGGGGAAGGACTCAAACTCCTTCTATTTTTCTGGTCAGGGAGAGAGCGGCAGCAGCAGATCAAACCGCAGAGCCCCTGCCCTGGGTGGGCACCAGCTTCCGGGAGACACTCCGTGCCTGTGACATCACCGTGTGCAGAGATGAATGAGACGGGAAAAGCCACTGCACCCTGAAGAACTGCAGTATGGTGGGGGAGGCAGATGCCAAACCAATGACTCAGAGACCTATTTAACGAACAGGTGTGAGGCGTTTTCATTCAACGCATTATAAAGCACCGGCTGGGACTCCCGGCCTCTTGGGCGCAGGGACGCGCTGCTTGGTGGGACGTGCGGGTGGCAGCAGGAAGTGGACAAACAAGAGAGTTACCCGGCAGGGAGGGGATGGGGCTCTGGAAAGGCTGCTTCTTTCTTTCTTTAGGGAAGTGTCAGAAGAGTCCTGGAGGCAGGACCTAGAGCAGCTGAGGGAGGCGGACCCTCTCCTGGGGTCTCCCTGACATAAGACGGGCCCCCCGTGGTCTCATGACCTAGGGCAGCTGAGGGAGGCGGACCCTCTCCCGGGGTCTCCCTGACACAGGATGGGCCCCGGTGGTCTCATGTCTTGCCTGGTCCCGGCTGTTGCAGCGAGGTGGGCCCAGACCCTCCATCACCCCAAGAGGCAGGCCTGGACCCTCACAGTCACCCTACAAGGCAGGCCTAGACCCTCAGTCACCCTTCGAGGCAGGCCCAGACCCTCAGAGTTGCCCTGTAAGGCCCCGGCCCTCAGCCACCCTGCGGGGCAGGCCTCCCGTTCTCAGAGGAGATGGGGGGTGGAAGGTAGCCGGCTAGCAGGAATCTGGGGTTGGCCGCCTCCACCGCTGACTCAAGGCCTGAACACTGACCTGCGGAGTTCACACCCAGCAGCTGCTGACAGTCCTGCCTGGCAGCATTTCGGGCTCCCCCAGGGCCTCCTCTGCGCCCAGGTTCCTACCTCCATCCGCTCCACCTCCTGGCCCCAGCCATCCGCGTCCTCTCATCTGACCTGCTGCTCCAGGCCCTGACTCCCGCCTACGGCCACAGCTCCACTGAGCATGCTGCCCACCCCCTCGCAATGCCCCTTCCACACGGCCGGAGGAGGAGGCGGCCAACCTGAGGGCACCTGACATCGATGGGCAGCAACTCCAGGAAGAACCTGCACGTCTGGGAGCCCCGCCTGTCATTCCCCGCACGTTCCCCGCACAGCGCCCTCGTCTCTCGGCTCACCTGGCCTCTCCAGTTGCTCCCTCGTGTTCTAGGCTGCGTGCAGTCCCCAGGCCTTTGCTCATGCTGCCCCCTTCACCGGGGGCACCTGTCTCTCTCCCTAAACCCTCTGTCCACCTCTCACTCCTATTCTGTCTGTGTATCTATCTGTCTATCTGTCTATCTGTTTATCTATCCATCTGTCTATCTATCTATCATCTGTCTCTCTATCTCTCCATCTATCATCTATCCATCTATCATCTATCCATCTATCATCTATCTATCTATCTGTCTATCTATCTATCCATCCATCCATCCATCCATCTATCTTGAGACGGAGCTTCAGTCTGTCGCCCAGGCTGGAGTGCAACGGCACAATCTCAGCTCACAGCAACCTCCACCTTCCGGGTACAAGCGATTCGCCTGCCTCAGCCTCCCAAGTAGCTGGGATTACCGGCATGCACCACCATGCCCGGCTAATTTTTATATTTTTAGGAGAGAGGATTTCACCATGTTGGTCAGGCTGGTCTTGAGAACTCCTGGCTTCAGGTGATCCACCCACCTCAGCCTCCCACAGTCCTGGGATTACAGGCGTGAGCCACCGTGCCCAGCCTATTCTTTCTAAAGACTTCTTTACACATGACCTTCACCTGGAGGCTTTTCCTTGATCCAAACAGGTAAAGAATCCACTCAGAGTTCCTGGAAGGCCTGGGTGCATGTCCTTCACTGGGCTGATACATTATTAGGAGACAACATGAAACCCCCCATCTCCCCTCCAGAACGTGAGTCTCTGGGGACCAGGCCCTGCCCCTGGCCCCTGCCTATCTCTCCGTCTTCCCTCCACACTGTCCAGCCTTCACACTGTGCACTCGCAACACACTGACCTCTGGCCAGGGCTCCACTTGCCCCGTTCTTCTACCTCGGGGCCTTCGCACGTGCTGTTCCCTCTGCCTGGAAGCGCGTCCCTCCCACTGCCGTCTAACGTTGCCCCATCGTCTGGGTCTCAGTGGAGGCCGCACACTCTCAGGGAAGCCCCTCCTGATCTCGACTAGGCTACACCTTCACCCACGTCCCCACTGCCTGTTGTCACCATCAAAGCAACTTACCTAACTATTCAAATAATGCCCGCCTCTGCCCACCTGTGCTTTAAGACCAGGGACCGTGTTGGTCCTGTTCACTGCTGTGCAGTCAGTGCCTGGCACGTAGCAGGGGGTTAGAAAATGTCTGGTGGCGGCTGGAGGACTGAGGAGAGCCCCAAGCTGCAGCCCCGACGTCCCTGAGGGTCCCACGGGGCACAGCTCCCAGCTCTGCGGGTGGAAATCAGTATGCCTCTCCTTTCCGGAGACTGTGCCAGGCTCGAGAAGGCAGCACCCCAAGGGAAGGGATAAAGGCATTCTCTCTTCTAAAGGTACTCCGGCAGCTTTTGGCTGCTGCTGAGCGAGACACAAGGTCAGGGAGAGCCGAAGGGAACCCTGGAGGGTCACGAGTCCTGCTGGGCCGTGTCTAGAGCACAGTGGCAGCGCGCTCCTTGGAAACTCCTACCCTGCCTGGGAGGACACTTCATCTGCCCGGCATCAGAGGACAGGGAGGGAGAGGGACCGACCTCACCCACTGTGGGGGCCGCACGAAGGAGCTGAGCCCTCCCAGCGAAGGAGAGAAGTTAACTGTGGTGCCAAGATTCCTGCAAATCACGCAGGACTCCAAGTGTTTGAATTTGGTCCCATTTGGGAAACGCTGGCTCCCGTTGATCGGCATGGGTTGAAGGACGAAGGGGCCTGTTTGGACTTATCAGACGTCGGAGACCCCCAGCCCCTCGGAGGGACAGGGAGGGGCTGGAAGGCAGCCGAGGCACCTGAGACCCCCATCTGCAGCCACAGTGGACAGTCGGTGGAGATGGCCTGACCTACCCAGAGCTGAGAGCTCACTAGGCTGAGGGATTGCAGGAAAACCAGGGCCGGGCACGGTGGCTCATGTCTGTAACCCCAGCGCTTTGGGAGACCAAGGCGGGTGGATCACTTGAGGTCAGGAGTTCGAGACCAGCCTGGCCAACATGGCAAAACCCCCGTCTCTACCAAAAATACAAAAATTAGCCCATCGTGGTGGGCACCTGTAATCCCAGCTACTCGGGAGGCAGGAGAATCGCTTGAACCTGGGAGGCAGAGTTACAGTGGAGCTGAGATCGCACCACTGCACTCCAGCCTGGGTGACACAGTGAGACTCCGTCTAAAAAAAAAAAAAAAAAAAAAAGGAAAACCAGGACCCCAAGTGAAGAAACTGGAAGTGAGGAACTAGTGAGGTTCTCAGGAGAGCGCGGAGAAGGCCCTGGGACAGCTCTGGCTGGTCGCGCTTCGGCCTGAGGGGCAGCTCTTCGTCCATTCGACAGACCTTTGTTCCCCCGTCTCACAGTGCCAGGCACTCGGCTATGACTGGGCATCCAGGGACCAAAGGCTCCCTGTCTTAAGGGACTTGCAGTCCTACGGCTCAGTGACAAGAGAGAAGGCACGTGAGGTGAGGTGGGTCCCTGCGGCCTTTTGTGATAGAAAGGACACAGGCTTAGGAGTCGGCTGCACCCAGGTGCGGGTCGCAGCCCTGCCACCCACAAGTTAAGTGACGTAGGCAAGGAGCTCAGCCTCACTTTTCTCATCTGGGAAATGGGGATAAATTCTGCACGGTAGTTGAATGAGTGGATGCCTGTGTCCAGGGCCCGGAGTGTGGTGTGCATCCGACAGGCACTTCTCTGCAACACCTCTCTCAGGGCTCCTGGGAATGAATCTTGCTAAAGACAGGAGAAGAGCAGGGAGGCCGCAGGAAGCGAAGGCCTGGGGGGCCCCAGAGGTACTCACTTGGCTCGAAGGGCAAGCTGCCGGTCATTGGGGCAAACCCACTGGTCATTCCCGCTGCCGAAGATGGTGTCGGCCATGGCTCGGAGCCCCCGGCTGGGGGAGGGGAGTCACATCTGAGATGAAGGAGGGAAGAAGAAAGAGTGCATCACTGGCTGGGGTACAGATGGCAGTCGGGGTCTCGATGCAGTCAGCCCCTCCACCGCACCTCCATGCGTTGTCCCATGGATGCCTGGAATCTCACTGTGGGAACCGTCTCTCCAGCAAAAAACTGTTCCCTCAAGACTCCTCTTCAGAAGGCTCATGATTCTGGGAGGGTGACCAGGTGGATCATGTGGCCGAGTGCCAAGAGTGAACGTGACTGGCATCAAAGGGTTAGACTCAGAAAGGAGAGGGCAGGCACACCCTTAGCAGTTTTCACTCAGCCCAGGAGGCCATCTGTTCCCTGCCCCCTCCCAGTACAGCAGGGGCCAAACTGAGCACGTCACTCAGCAGGAGGTATGGGCTGGGGGGTGATGGCCAGAGTAGAGCAGGGGCTGACCCAACCACGTCACCCCAGCAGGAGGGGCTGGGCTGAGGGGTGATGGCCAGACAGGCTGAAACCCTACACCTCTCCCCAGCCTGGGGACCTGGCTCTCCTTCCCAACAGATTCACACCGATGGTCACAATGCCCTCGAGGGGAGGCAAGAGGGCAGGGGGTGGCAGCTACAGCCAGGATCGCCACCCGGCACCGTGCCAAGGGGTGCCGCCCATAGACACTGCCATGAGCATGGCATCTGGGGATCCCGCAGGGAGGTGACCCTGCTCCAGGACCCCGATGGGTCACCTGTGCACCGTCTAGTGTAGCCGGCTTCCTCCTTGCCTCCAAGGACAGGATTATCTTTGGTGATCTATCGTGAGGACGCCGCACGTGCATTCTGAAGGGAGAGTGGGATGAGGCTGAGGGTATCTCAATCCCAGAGCAAGAATGAGGGGCTCTCCTGAGTCATCCACACTCCCTGGTTGAATTCCAGCTGGGCCAGCGGTTCTCAAACCCAGGACCCCTTTACACGCTTAAAAAATCCAGGTTTGAAATCCATTTGGCACTTCCTCAAAAATGGTTAAATACAGATTTACCATATGACCCAGAAACTCGCTCCTGGTTACAGACCAAGACATGTCCTCCACCGAAACCTGTACACGAAATGTTCATCAGAGCATTATTCACAAACAGCCAAAAAGTGGAAACAACCAAAATTAATCCACCGACCGATGAGATGAGGAAACTGTGCTATTTCCGTACAATGGAATTAGTTACAAGGGATTATTATTGGCCACAAAAAGGAATGAGGTACTAACACCAGCTAATCATGGACAAACCTTTAAAACAACCTAGTAAGAAGAAGTCCGTCGTTAAACGACCAGTACTGATGATTCCGTTTATATTGACGTGCCCAGAATAGCAAATCTGAGAGGGAAGGTGATGATGGTTATCGGGGCTGCAGAAAAGGGGAACAGACTGCCAGTGGGTTCAGGACTTCTTTTTGGGGTGATAAAAATGTTCCGAAATTAGACAGTGGTGATGGTTACACAATTTTGTGAATATACTAAAACCACTGAACTGCATCCTTTAAAAGTGTGAATTTTATGGTCTATGAATTACAACTTCAGCACCAATACAGACCACGAAAAAAATGAATTATAACTCATTCATAGGCTGGACATGGTGGCTCATACCTGTAATCCCAGCACTTTGGGAGGCTGAACTGGGCAGGTCACCGGAGCCCAGGAGTTCGAGATCAGCCTGGGGAACGTGGTGAAACCGTTTCTCAACAAAAAGAACAAAATTAGCTGGGCGTGGTGCATATCTGTGGTCCCAGCTACACTCGACCTCCTCCTGAGCCCAGGAGGTCGAGGCTGCAGGGAGCCACACGACTGCGCCACTGCACTCCAGCCTGGGTGACAGAGCGAGACTCTCTCTCAAAACAACAACAACAACAAAATGCTATAAAAAATTATTGAGGTCGGATGTGGTGGCTCAGGCCCGTAACCCCAGCAATTTGGGAGGCCAAGGCGGGAGGATTGCTTGAGGTCAGGAGTTCAAGACCAGCCTGGCCAATGTGGTGAAACCCTGTCTCTATTAAAAATACAAAAAAAAAATAGCTAGGCGTGATGGCACATGCCCGTAATCCCAGCTACTCAGGAGGGTGAGGCAGGAGAATAGCTTGAACCTGGGAGGTGGAGGTGTAAGTGAGCCGGGATCGTGCCATTGCACTCCAGCCTGGGCAACAAGAGTGAGACTCCGTCTTCAAAAAAAAAAAAAAAAAAAAAAGACATTATTAAGGAATCCAGAATACATGGGCTATGACCATTGCTAGTTACCAGAAATTAAAACTGAGAAAATCTTTAAAATTTTGTTAATTCATTAAAAATAATAAACCCATTACAAGAAAAAAAAAAACCACCCCATCAAAAAGTGGGCAAAGGATATGAACAGACACTTCTCAAAAGAGGACATTCATACAGCCAACAGACACATGAAAAAATGCTCATCATCACTCGCCATCAGAGAAACGCAAATCAAAACCACAATGAGATACCATCTCACACCAGTTAGAATGGCAGTCATTAAAAAATCAGGAAACAACAGGTGCTGGAGAGGATGTGGAGAAATAGGAACACTTTTACACTGTTGGTGGGATTGTAAACTAGTTCAACCATTGTGGAAGACAGTGTGGCCATTCCTCAAGGATCCAGAACCAGAAATACCATTTGACCCAGCCATCCCATTACTCGGTATATACCTGAAGGATTATAAATCATGCTGCTATAAAGATACATGCACACGTATGTTTATTGAGGCACTATTCACAATAGCAAAGACTTAGAATCAACCCAAATGTCCAACAGTGACAGACTGGATTAAGAAAATGTGGCACATATACACCATGGAATACTATGCAGCCATAAAAAGGATGAGTTCATGTCCTTTGTGGGGACATGGATGCAGCTGGAAACCATCATTCTCAGCAAACTATCACAAGAACAGAAAAACAAACACCGCATGTTCTCACTCGTAGGAGGGAATTGAACAATGAGATCACTTGGACACAGGAAGGGGAACCTCACACACCGGGGCCTATTGTGGGGAGGAGGGAGGGGGGAGGGATAGCATTAGGAGATATACCTAATGTAAATGACGAGTTAATGGGGGCAGCACACCAACATGGCACCTGTATACATATGTGACAAACCTGCATGTTGTGCACATGTACCCTAGAACTTAAAGTATAATTTTTTAAAAAAAACCCTTTAGACGTGCACGATTTACATATTTTATGAAAAACTACACTTAAAAAGCAATTAGACAAATACATTGTTTTACATTTTTACAACTGTTTTTAATGTTTGGCTTCACAAAAGAAACAGCGGGACATTCATATCTGATTCTTCACTCACACATTTGTGACAGGTGGTTTCACTGAAGTCCATGAAGGACATCCAGACCCTCACAAACGTGCATGATGGCTG